GCGGTATACAGAGGAGTTAAGCAGATACTTGACTAAAAAGAAAAAACAAAGAAGAAGAAGAAGAAGAAGAAGAATGCGCATCAGAAGAAGAAAGAGGAAGTGTTTCGTTGTTCCTATTTAGTTAAGTAGCGACAATTCTCTGGCTTTTTTGGCCTTACAAATATCAGGTAAATAACCACACAAAAGTACAACATTCTAGTCACATGTAAATCTTTTTTAAATGACATTGTCCAGAACCTTGAGAGCGATGTAAGTTACTGCTACTGTTTGCAACAGTCGGAACTACATAATGCTACATTGCTAAGCTAATGCTAACGGTAGCCTTGGGTGAAGTCATGTGACAAACAATGCAATCCATGTCAGCATACTGCTTTATTGTTTCAATGTTATACAATTGTGTAAAGATCATTTAGCTCTTATCATGTATTTCAAAGTAGACGATCTTGTTTTAAAAATCACCAGTATCATATTTTAACTAAAGTGTTCCCGTCTTTCTGGTTCTGCACTGTAACTATTTTTTCCCCTGATTTAGAATCCACACAATTTCACCATGAACCTGGAACGAGTGCCCAATGAGGAGAAACTCGGCCTATGCCGCAAATATTATTTAGGTAAGAATACTTAAACATGAATGCCAGGACCGGAGAAGTGTCGATGCAAACCATTTTATATTCTATCTTCACTGTTACATGCTACACATGCCTCAATACGTTCAAAATTTCACTCGATTCTAAGCATGAGCATTTAAGCACATTTTTGTAAATATTAAGTGGTAATATGCCGTTGTATTGATGTTGTTTTTTTCCATCTTCTTCTTCTCAGCTGGCTTTGCTTTTCTACCATTCCTGTGGCTGGTGAATGTTGTTTGGTTCTTTAAAGAGGCCTTTTTAAAGCCTGTGTACACTGAACAGCTCCAGATCCAAACATGTAAGTATCAGAACCACTACTTTAAAACCTGAGGATTATTCAGTCATTACATATAGTTAGGACCTCCAGTAAAACCCCAGAGTACGTTTTCTTACCTAATTGTTTACACACAATTTACACTATGTGTGCATTTTTGTTCTATCTTGGTCAAACTGAAAGAATAAAGTCACGATATATTTCCAGGTCTGTTAATCCTAGATGAGATGGGATGACTGTCAAAAGAGTATTTCATATTTTGTTTAAAAATGTAATTTAATATTGTATCCACATAGATGAGATCTTAAATTACTAAGAACATATGGATTTTGTTTACAGTGGAACTCTTAAAAAACACTTGACTCAATGTGTGATATAATAAGTTATTATATATTGTTGAAATACTTGCTATCCTTAATTGTAGGCCTGTTAAGTAAATAATATGCATAACGTTACATTTACATTTTAGTTTTGTTCAAATCAGCAATTATGACAGTGAATGTCTTTGTAGTTTTTTGTATTGAGAAATTGAATATTTGCCAAACTTGAACTGGTAACCCCGTTGATATACAACAGTTTTCATTTTGAAGTAATATTTGCAATTTCCTGAGAATTGTTTTATTAAAGACAATTTAAGGCAAACTTCTGCATGAAATAACATACCTGTCACTTGTGTGTTTTTCCTCTAGATGTGAAGCGGTCAGGACTGGGGTTGCTGTTTTGGGTCACAGTGCTCACCACGTGGATTACGATTTTCCAGCACTACAGAGCAGAGTGGGGGGAGGTGGGAGATTACCTGTCCTTTACAATTCCTCTGGGCATTCCTTAAAACATTTTTGTCAAATAACTAATGATCCATTATAATGGACCAAGGAATTTTTTCTTCTTTAACAGTGAAATATTCTGATGATTTGTCTGGTCTCCGGAGAGAGATGTAATGGCTGAATCATGTTAACAAAATCAATCCAACTATGTGTTCAAAATATAAATACCGTAGGATTCGAAGTCAGTTTTTTGTGCTTGCCAGGCATTTGACAACATTCTTTGGGTTATTTTTTCAAGTGAGCTCACTAATATCTTTTCTTGTTTTATAGTGGAGTTTAATGTCTGTGTTTGTGAAACCCAAACCATTTTTACTTGTGTATGAAATGATAAATAAAAACAAAAGTCCATAATGCCTCCAACCGCCAATGTCCATATACTGTATTTGTTAGACCTTCATTATCATATTGGAATATCATTATTCTTCTGGGATCTATTATAGACTTAATGTTGGGGGACTCATCATGAGCTATTATCTCCTTATATACTCCCAATGTTTTGCATTGTTACGGAAGGCTCCTAAAGTCTGGCGCCTGTTGTGAAACCCAATAACTTAATCTCTCCAAATGTTGCCACTTCCCTGTCATCCTATGTGAGTCATAACATGATCGGGGCCATTTTTAGTCACTGCAGTCAAAGCTTAAGTGACAGGTTCTACATTACTAACAGGAACATGTGCTCTGAAGATAAATTCACTCGGAATGTGCCAGGAACAAGTCAGGAGTATCAGCACGTACTTTTATGATGCAGGGAGTTCCTTAATAACACTGATTTACGAGGAGTAAACTAATGAACCCTTTTAAGGACATCATTTCATTTGTGGAGCGATGGAAAGTTACTAAGAATGTTTACTGAAGTGCTACTCAAGTTCAATTTTGAGAGGCTTTCATTTAATGTTATTTTGTATTCAAAACACTTTTGATACTACTTCACTGCATTTATTTGACAGCTAGTTACATTTCAGATCATCTCTGTACATAAAACATTGAAAATCAGCTTATAACATTTTATGTATTATAGATTAGTGTGGTCTAGGCCCCATACTGACTTAAAGTGCTACTTGTAAAATATAAATGCACCATAAAACACCCACAGGAGCACATTTTCCGCATTATGAGGACATTTACTTTTGATACTTCTAAGTACATTTAGCTTATTTTATTGAGTGCAGTTGTATTTGTATGACTACTGTGACATTACTACATTTACTTAGGTAAATGACCTCACAAGTTCTTTCACACTGAATGATGGATGGGGTGAAAGCACACGCGCTCAGGCATGTGTTAGGGACGTCCCTGCTGTCACTGTCTGTCTGGCATCAGCTCACGAGGGGTCAACAACATCCCTTTTGAACTTATTTTTGGATAAACCTTCCTTGACAACAGACCTTGAGCATGTATTTCACAACTCTATAAGTCATATAAGAAAACTTAAACAGTTTGTTTCTGTTTCATAAACACTAGGAATACACTTCAGACTACAATATTGTTAACAGGGAATAACACGTTAATTGCCATAAACTCGCAACAGCTGCGTCACTCCCAAAACAATACAGTACACCACCCTTATCCTATATGGCCCCGCCTCAACACCCAAGGGTACGCATCCGGAACATAACAGAGGCAAGGTGCCCCCACTGTGTATGCGACTCCAGTATAAAACACACACCGCAGCAGTCAGACACGTCAAGCATCCCGTGAGCGAGCAGCTTGTGGTTAGAACATAGACTGTATATACAGGGTCAGACAGACGGGCGCACCAGGGCATCATCTGTACTCACAGTACCTCTTTTAGGACCGACACGGGTGAACACACGCAGTGAAACAGGGGGCGTACTTTCCTGCTCGCACACTCTTTTGGTCAGAGAATTTAAGAAGAGGTAAGCTGTGGTCAGAGTTGTTTGTAGCCTCAAGTGCTGGGAAGTCAACTCTCCTTTTTAAACACGTTCTCTTCCTACTGATTAGAAATGGACTTCATTCTGCCACCCTCTCTGCCAGATGGTGGTATCCCATGGGAGAAGGTTTTACCACCTCTTATTCCTCGGCTGAATGGGATTTATGGAAATTATCAATGGTCTCCGAAATTACTGATTCCAGAGAGTGATAAAACCAGCTCTGCAGAGGTAGGTTATTTAAACTTACTACAGCTGTTTGTATGGTTTATTAACTGTTTAAGAACAATATAATTGCATGGACACACAACAATATTAAAATATATATTTAGTAATACCAAATAACCGTGGTAACTTATTTAATAAGTTATTTTCCTTTTTTGTTGAAAAGTATATGTTGACTCAAGTCCACCAAGTAGCTTTTCAACTTCTCCTGAGATGCTTTTGAGAAAGATATATCAAATAAATATGTTTTCAAATCACTGCTTCCAAGGTCAAAAACAACTTTCACACTCAAATATCCTTTAGGTTTAAGTTATATGCATGATAGCAAACAGGGCTTTTGGGTGTATTTACTGTGCTAAGACATATTTATTTCTAAATATTAACAAGTGTTTACACTTTTATTGGTAGGTGAACTGTGACAACAGCGGTTTTAGAGTTCAAGTTGATGTCAAGCTCTTCAACCCAGAGGACCTCCTGGTCAAAGTGACAGGAGACTTTGTGGAAGTGCAAGGAAAGCATGAAGAAAAGAAGGTTAGTATTCTGGGTGGAACATAGGTTTTAGGGAGGTTTGTTAACAATATTTAAGATCCTCAAAACTTGGATTCATTGTGCTCTTTGAAGGATGGTGCAGGAGTTTCAACACGGCAGTTCAACCGTCGCTACCGAATTCCAAAGGGAGTGGACACCATGGCGTTGGAGTCAGCGGTCTCTCCAGAAGGCATCCTTATCATATCTGCACCGATGCTGCAAACAGAGGACTCCGGCATACCGACATAATGCCTTATAATACCAAACACTAACATTTCTGCCGTCTTCACCATGTATGAAAATAAGTGTGACATAAGCCTTTAAGAAAACACAGGCTCATACAGAAATAACTTGAGGCTCCTTCAGTCACAGCAACACTCATGCATGCACGTGCCAAAATGCCCATTTGTTGTTCCTGGCGCTGTTCTAATATTCCCTGCTCTCTTAGGTTTGTATATACCGCTCTGCTATTACTCATCAATCTTACCCGATGTTTAAAAGAACCAGTCTTTGTAAATATTCTGTGTTCGTAGTTCAATGTGCGCAACTTTTGTAAAGAAAATTACTGTATTGTTATTGTTATTAATGATGCACACAAAAACATCTCCAAAATCTTTAATGTGGAAATATGTTTTCAAAAATAAACTTTATTTCTTTATAAAATAAAAAAGGCATAAATGTGTTTTCTTGTCAGTGGTCAAGTTACTTCTCGCTCGTCCTGGAATTCATTTAATATAGAGTCCACATCACTGAAAGGCAAAATACAGTAGATTATTTTTCTGGAATTTGAGGTGCTCTGTTTTGAGGATTCTTATAACATTAGAAGAGCCTCATTTTCAAATGATTTTTCAAATGAGCATCTTCCTAGTAACATAATCTTACATGACTGAACAATTACATTTAAGATGATAATTTTACCTGATCTGCTCCTTTACCCATTTTCTCTGCTTGCGAAGGACTTGTAACAAAGGGTCATCTTCAAACTCTTTTTCATCTGAATCTGAAAAAAACGAAAACAGTTCTGTTGAGGATAATCACCAGCCAAGGAGAAGGTTGATATTGACGTATAAATCAGCATGTAAATATATTGCATGGAAGCAACACTATAAGTTGTTTTGAAATGTAAACGCCTCCAAAAGCCATTCTTAAGATATGACTACAATAACATTCAACATGGATCACAATTGATACAGCATACACAAAAAAGAGAGAGAAAGATTTATGGTGTTTGGCATGTTGTGAATGCGTACCTATACATAGTTCAGAATAAATTCTCCACAACTAACAACAGGGTAAAGGTTGGCGCTCTTTCGTGCCTTAAGCTGACCTTCCGCTTCCTGCAGCAGCTGTGAGATGACCTCCATAGAGCTCTGTGCATTGCATGGAGGAACTGTGGATTGTGGAGGTGCAGAGGAAGGGCAAGGAGGAGAAACCGATGAGTCAGGGGTCCTTTGTGCAGAGTCCGCCGTGGGGAACATTACCTCTGAAACTACCTGTCGAAGCACAAAGAGAACATCCTGCTAGTAAATGCTTCTTTAATTAGCATTATTGCATTCTACACCCCCAAAACATGATATGAAATATTAATAAATACAATGATGTTTGACATCTAAACAATGTCCACAGTGATGGCATTTATATAATGTCATTCTAATGAGGTCGGACACGTACACCTGATTATCTAAATTATTTAATGCCTCACACAACATATTTCTTGAAGACAAATCAAAAGAACTCAAGTATAGGTTTTTTGTGTTTGATACTCACCCTGTTTAATAAAAACGAATAATCTAAAATGCATACATTTGCCACAAATTATTGAATTTTGCATAGCAACATCTTTATGTTTATCCTATATACTGCTTGCAAGTTATAACAAAAGTGAGACAAAATATGCAAACAACCTCTGAGGCTTCATATTGCCTTTGTCTATGAAACTACATGGAGAAGAATAAAGAAAAAAGCTTAAGAACCTGTCCTAAGGCTCTGTGGATTGGAGAAGGGGGCGGTGCATGATCGCCAGTACAGCTTTCCCTGGAAAACCCCTGGCGTTGCTCCTGCAGCGGCTGCTCAGCCCACGGCATGACTTTTTTGGAAACTCTTGGTTGTGAAGAATTTCTGTTTGTAGAGCCGGTGCCAGCAGCATGTTCCCTATTCACAGTATTTTTGCAAATTATTGTATATTGAGCAATCAGTCTTTAATTTATATTACACTTTTAGAATTTTTCAATCCTACCTTGTTGATTTCTTCTGCTTTCTGATTGACGGGGCCACCTTCTCCTCATTCTTCTCAGATTCTCTTGTTTGGGCTTTCTCTCTCTTGCTCCTCTCAGATCTTTTGTGGTGAGTAAGCCCTACTCTTTCTATTATTCCCGATGAAGCAGGTGTTGGGCATGGCATATGTGCATGAGAAGGTTTGTCAGTGATGGTGGTCATTATGTTTGCAGGGACTTGGATCTTTTTACAGGCAACTTTGGTGCCATCTATACTTTTCGAAGTTTTGTGTTTCATGGTAGCATGAGACGACTGGATTGGGCAGGGCAAGACATCACAGAGTAAATGCATGTGGGCAGGAACATGTGCAATAGTTTGGGGATGAAAGACGGAAGAGCCAGAGACATCAAAGGCAGGGAAGGGAGGTGGACCTGAAGCCGGGGGGCAGGATTTGTGAGCTTCTTTGGTGTCCAGTTGTGGAGCTGTGATGTGCAGATGTGTATCTTTTTGTGAGACGTCAGGAGGTTGAATACTCCGGTGTTGCTATGAAAGATACAAGAAAGAGGAAAATAAAACATCCTGTAAATCTGCAATTATTATACTAAAAAAAATAAAAATGTCAAATACTCTGACTCAAACCTTGTAAGCCTGTCCTCTGGCCGAGGCATTGTTTGAACTGGGGGCCTGCCAGCTGAAAGTGGGACCATGCAGACTGGTCTGTTGCTGGGGCCACTCCCGGGCCTGCTCGATCTTTCTCCTTAAACGCCACTGGAACAATATGTCCTCTTCCCGGCGTGTGGGAGGCACCAGAGAAGGAATGACAGAGGATCTTTGGAAGAACACAGCTCGATCTGAGTCTGAGCAGGCCTTTGCTGTAAATATTAATAAACACATTGCATAATATAACTAACACTGCACTACAGTTTAAAAACAGGCATGAAAAAATATGAATCTTCTAGGAAAAGTTGGATAAGATGAGAACGGCATTGAGGCAGTTTGTATTAGAGTAAGAGTTACAAAACTCCTTCTCAAAAATGAGTATTATGTAACACTCTTGCCTTACCAGTAGATGTTATTAAACTGGGAATCAAAGGTCTTCGCGGAGGCTCATCTACGCTGACTGGAGAAGAGAAATCTGAGCAATCCAGGCCCTCTGAGCTGACAGGTATAGATCCATCACTCAGAGTACATTCGCTGTTAGAAAGACAGAAGATACTTACAAAATAACATTTTATCATATCACATTTATCATAAATGTAACTCGCTTGTATTCATACCCTCTCAGCAAAAGTCGGTTGGCTTTTTCTTGAAGCTGTAGTAGCTCTACCGCATCGTCAAATTCCATCTGGGAGGTGTCCGACAAAATCTGAGCAATAAAGAGGATCGACAAACCAATGAAAAAGAACAGTTGCACATTGATTTAGCAGCATTTACGTTTTCCTTCACATTATCTAGGTTCATATTGCTAACACATATACCGAGAAGTTCTTTTACAATTTTGTGAAAGTGATTCATCTGACATGACCAGGCTTGCAATCTATAAATGTGTCAAACATGGGTGCATAAACAGTGGCTTCCCAGGTATCTATTAAACAGAGAAAGTTTCCAAATGGACATGTGGTGCAGTGTTGAAATGCAAATATTTATATGCACACTTATTTGGTGTCTCTACTCCTGCAGACACTCCGTTTCCTTGGCATCCAGACAAACTTGCCTTATACACCGGGGCAGGGTGCAGACCCAATGGTCCAAATATAAAAGCATGTGAAAACAATAAAACAAGATGGAATGGTATCTTGTGTTTTGGAAAGTCGTTTTTGGTAATTATTAAAGAAATACATTTGGCAAGTTTATTTCAAGACAGTAACAGGCCATATTGTTTGGTCCCACAGCTCACAAAAGCACTCACACTAAGGGATCCTCTGCATGGGGAGGGGGATCTGTCATGTTGACGTTGTCCAGCTGGACTGAAGCTGGCAGGTCCATGGTCATCTTTCATAGGCTTTATAACTTCTGTTAAGAGAAAGGTATCCCTCAGAAAGATTATACCAGCTAAGGTGCTTTCCACATTGAAATTAGAGAGCTGGTGAAATGTAATAACCCCTTATATAAAAAATAAACATTAAGGGAGAATCTACCTCTGTCTGTTGTTTTAGTTGGTGTTGAACTGCAAGGTAAAGATGAGGGTGACATCCACCAAAAAGGCAGCTGCTTCTCTTCTATGGCAGAAGGCATCTGCTGGCGCTCCTCTCTACTCTGTGGTTGACCATTGCGAAAGCGATCTATGTACCTAAGGGAGAAAATATCAATGTTTGTTATGACTAGTGATATAAATAGTAAAGGACCACTAACCAGTTTCTATATCTACCAATCTTTATATCACAGTGACCATCCCATGGTAATGTTCAGTCATGCCTCATATATTGCTACTGCAAGAAAAATAGTTCTAATAAAGATGATACTCAGGATATATTCTGGATTCTGAGTAATTTAAACTTACTTTGCCATCACTGAACTCTGCTGAACTTCAAACTCTGAGGAAAATGTGGATTTTCCTGCTCTAGCACTCTGTTTAGATGTCTCCATGTCAGAAGAAGTACTGCTGGCAGGAGAAGATCCACAGTCGGTGGAGGGCCAGGATTCTTCAAACGCAGGCTGTCTATCCGTGGAAACAAAGTGTAGGTCACGTTTCTCATACGGCCGTTGGCTCTCTGGGCTCAGACTGTGTAATTGTGGACTGGATCGTTGCTTTAAACGTTCTGGACTCAGAGTCTGCAAAAGAACAACAAAGTGAGAGACATGTATGTTTGAGATAACTTAATAATTGCAGTAGGCTCAGCTTCAAAACAAACCGTTTTTTTCTCTTTCTTTGACAGGGATTGTTTACGGGATGGATGATAATGTGCCTTCCCCACTTTGGATGCTGGCTCCAAGGGATTCTGCCTTGTGAACACAGGTGCACTGTAAAAAAAACAATACATTTGTGACCAACTGTAGCTATTGTTAAGGGTATTATAAATAATGTGATATTTATATCTTACCTGGATTTCATTACAGCTTTTAAAAGTCAGAGGTGATTCTTAAGAGCAAGAAAACAGGATGCACAGTATAAATTGTTTGTGCTTCAGATTTATATCTGATCCCAAATTAGCTTTTTGACAATAAATTATAGCTGGGTCGTCACGTCAGCCTGACTTTACCGAATTGTAACTAACTGTTAACTAAGATCATAGCACATTATTCACCAGCCTGCTGAGTTGACTTGGCATGTCGAAAGTTACCTAGAGTCACACGCCAGTACGACACGAATTATGCATAAAATAGCAAAGTAAGATGCTACAGCTGAAACATGGAAAGGTCTAATACATCCAACGATTAAAAATAGTAAACTAAACACATAATTACTTTGCTCTTTTGGACATATATCACATAACCGATACAACCAGAAGAAAGCGCCACTGTTTATGTCGATCGTTATTTACTGAGAGCCTTACAGCCAATAGGAACCGGGTTTTTTCATGATGGACATAACAGTTACCCAATCACGTAGAACGCCTTCGTAGCCCAAGCGCCAATCAGTCAATAGGAAACCGGAAGCGCGCGGAAGAGGAAAGTCTGGTCGATCGAAAACAAGCTAAGTTAGCAACGGTCATTTGAGCTAGTAAACGCGATGGTCTTTAAACGACACGTCTGAACTTTATTTTAATTTATAAAAATCACCACGGGAAACAGTTAGTCGACTAATTGTCATCGGTGAATGTAGATATTATTGAGCTTGAAAAACTAGCTTTAACTTTATACAAACAGGTGGCTAGCTGATTGTAAACAGTAAGATAACTGCAGCTAACGGCTAGCTAAATTGGCAAACGTTAGTAAGACAACGTCCTGTAGCAGCCATATGCTATTGTCAAGTAGCACCAGTTACTGAAGAAAACAAACCCGAGATTGGTGACCGAGAGTGAACGCCGCATTCTAAAAGTTGGCTTTCACCCAATTAACGCTGACGTTACAAATAGGTGGGGATAATGCACCACGTCAAGATAAAGACTGAAAGGCCAGGTGAGTAACGCTGCTACATTTTTCACTTTAAATGAATGTAATCGATGATCAAGTCCCCCTGACGTAAGCACACGTATTGCATTTGGTCAGCCACTACCAGTACCTACATGCAGTGATAAAGTTGCCATGCATTACAATTAACTCTTCGTTTTGAGTGTGGTCCACTGCTTGTTTTTTTTAATAAAATCCCAATTGTTTACATCTTATATCGCTTCTTCAGATTCAGAGGGTGTTGGTGCACGCAGCCGATTGGATGATGTGCTCAAGGGACTTGTGGAGAGGACTGAAAGTGAAAAGTCAGTTAGTATTAAAATGTTAAACTCATCTCATCATTGTCACTATTTTCCTATCAGACTAATGTCGTTGTGTTTGAACAGGGAACAAAATGAAGGGGATACTGGAAAAATATCAGCGGATTCCTTAAACAAGTATGAATCAAAATATTTGTAAAATGTACAGTATAATATGTTGTAGCTGGTGACGTTATTAATAAATAAATATCTATATTATTTCGATATTAAATAAATACAAAGTGTTAAAGCTTGTTTTGATATTTCATTGTTCACTTTCCATCTCTAGGGATTTGTCTCCATCATCTGCTGGAAAAAGGCAAGTGTTTTTTTTTCTACTGGGTTGACACACCTTAACATTTTATTTTAATTATCTGCATTTGTAGCTCAAAATTAAACCTTGCCATTTCCTGTTTTATAGTTCTACATTGTTTGCACACCATCATCTAAATCTAAAGGCCCTATGCTTGTTTTGTTTCGTCCAGGCCGTCAGCTCGATTCCCACAGCACCGGAGGAAGAAGCGAAAAGAGATGGATGAGGGCATACCAGAAAGCAATCAACACAAACAAAGTAAATGTTGTGAAAATATAAGAAATCATAAAATGTGTCCTTTTTATCCCTGAATTACTTTGTGGTCTACCTACCACTTTATTGCACAACTCCTTACCTTTTTTCTTTCTATTGTCTGTCTTTCTCCCCTTGTTAGATGCTTACATTATTAAGTTGTTTGATCGCAGTGTGGATCTGGCTCAGTTCAACACCAGCACCCCACTGTATCCTATTTGCCGTGCTTGGATGAGAAACAACCCCTCTGTTCGAGTGCCGCCTGCTTCCCCGAGCCCCCCCCACAGCATGGTGGAGGACGAGGTGAGGCTACCCGGTTATATTGGATAACAACAAATAACCAATTTTTTGTTGACAAGGAATTGTTTAAAATGAAGCATCTGAAAATTGTACACATCTGTATATAGTTTAAAAAATACTTTAAGAATGTTTTGACTCTAAATGGTTAAAACTATTTTGCAATTGCAAACCTTTTATATGACAAAACGTTAACGGAACATTGCATTTATAATGTGCTCTTACAAACCACTACCACTCTGCATTTCTGACCTGCGTAAGGCCGCTCCCTTGTGGCTAACAAATATAAAACTCTTATTTATTTTTTTCACACAGGAGTGTTCCCTGCTCCCAGTCCCTTCTGGAAAATACAATTTCAGTGAGCACCTCAAGCATAATTCTATATGATCGTTAAATGGATGATGGTTGTTGAATGTCTCTACAGAAGATATTTCAGAATCCTTGCTAAACTAAAATGGGATAATTGCAAAAATGTAAATGTTTTTTTGTGTTTTGATTTAGTAATTTAACCTTTCCGTCTAATTGTTAAACTTTAGTTTTGATCAATACGTTTTACTTGTGTATAGTCAGGGATGCAAACTTGTCACCTTTCGGCGAAATTCGCCGTTTTGAATCCAAAATAGGTAGTTTGTGTGATTCATGTAGATCTGCAATAAAAAATATTTTTGGGGTATGGGGGGGGGGTCTGGGACCCGGAGTAATCTGCGGCCGCGAGCTGTTATGTGCCATCATGACACGCATGGTGTTATTTTTTTATATATTATAATGAAGCGCGAGCTGTGTGCTCGAGTCTTCCTGCCTGTCAGCTCTGCTCATGGATGTATAATAAGGCTCTGCTGCTCCGGGATGAGGGTCTAGCTTCAGCAGCTACATTACCTACGGGTGCGTTCGTTAATATTAACTGTGCGGTCCGGAGTCACTGTGGCACAGACTGGACCGCTGGTGAACAGCTGTTAGAACGGGCCGTTCAGGTGTTCAAATCAGAGCTCCCTGTTGGAGCGGCAGAGCGTGATGTGCACTGAAAAGTGTTCCTGTCGCAATATTATCGTTGAGCTAGCTAACTAGCATAACATATCTGCTAACGTTTCCTTTAGCCTTCGTTTTCAAATAGTTTTAAAAGAGTAAAAGTAGAAGTACTCAGGTCTTGTACTTGAGTAAAAGTAGAAGTAGAAGTCCTGCATTCAAAATGTTCCTCAAGTAAAAGTAGAAAAGTATTCTCATCAAAATATAGTTAAAGTAGCGACAGTAAAAGTAGTCGTTGTGCAGATTGGTCCATTTCAGAATAATATATATGATATGTTTTATAATGATTGATCATGAAAGTGTTCTCAAAGCTGGTAAAGGTGCAGCTAGTTTGAATGACTTTGCATACTGCAGGGTAGCTTGTGAATTTACTCCAGGTGGAACTAAAGTCTGATTTAACACTTGATTATATTTCACATCATTCATCCACATCTGTAAAGTAACTAAAGCTATTAAATACATGTAGTGGAGTAGAAGTACACCATTTACCTCTGAACTGTAGTGGAGTAGAAGAACAAAGTAGCAACACATTGAATACTTAAATAAAGTACAAGTATCTCAAAATTGTACCCAAGTATAGTACTTGTTGAGTTTATGAACTTAGTTACTTTACATCAGGGGTTCCCAACCTTTATTGTGCCAAGGACCGGCAGATACATAAAAAAAAAATCGCGGACCGGTTGTCAATTTTAACTGATTTTAATATTTACTCACCACCAGCAGGTAGCAACAGAGGCTAATTGTATGTAACAGCCTGAACAAATACTAGAACAATATGCATCCAAAACATATTAACAAAGTTTAAATGTGTGTGTGTGTGTGTGTGTGTGTGTGTGTGTGTGTGTGTGTGTGTGTGTGTGTGTGTGTGTGTGTGTGTGTGTGTGTGTGTGTGTGTGTGTGTGTGTGTGTGTGTGTGTGTGTGTGTGTGTGTGTGTGTGTGTGTGTGTGTGTGTGTGTGTGTGTGTGTGTGTGTGTGTGTGTGGTGTGTGTGTGTGTGTGTGTGCGGTGTGTGTGTGTGTGTGTGTGTGTGTGTGTGTGTGTGTGTGTGTGTGTGTGTGTGTGTGTGTGTGTGTGTGTGTGTGTGTTGTGTGTGTGTGTGTGTGTGTGTGTGTGTGTGTGTGTGTGTGTGTGTGTGTGTGTGTGTGTGTGTGTGTGTGTGTGTGTGTGTGTGTGTGTGTGTGTGTGTGTGTGTGTGTGTGTGTGGGGGTTGGTTCCGGTGCACTCCGACAGCATTTAGCACTACATTAGATTAGATTAATTTATTTTGGGAACAGCCGCATATCTTTTGAAGCCAGGAAAAGGCTAGTCACTGTGACCTTTTTACCTGTGCTAGACTATGGTGATTTGATCTATATGAATGCACCTGCCCATTGTCTGGAAAGGTTAGATGCCGCCTATCACAGTGCTCTGAGATTTGTTACTAACTGTAAAGTACTTACTCATCACTGTACCCTGTATGCCAAGGCAGGTCTGCCTTCACTTACTGGTCGGAGGCTCAGTCATTGGTACATATTCATATATAAAGCCATGCTGGGTAAACTACCGACTTATATATGCTCTTTGATCTCACGGAGAGTGGCAAGTAGCTATTGCCTGAGATCCCAGGATGTGTTTTTATTACATGTGCCAAGTGCTAGGACTGTTTTAGGTACTAAAGCTTTTATGTGCGCTGCTCCTCTGGCTTGGAACACCATGCAAAAAATATTGAAACTGAGCATTTTGATTCCCTTGCATCGTTTTAAAGCACGGCTGGATGAAATGTTATTGGATACCTGTAAATGTAAATAGGTTGCTAATGTATACCCCTGTAATTATGTTGTGATGTCCTTTTGTTTTCTGTTTGTTTTTATGTGTAACTAATGTACCGCAGGTCTCCCTTGAAAAAGAGATCGTTGATCTCAATGGGATTTTTTAACCTGGTTAAATAAAGGCTACAAACAAACATATATGGAGTTAGCCATATGTGTGTAAATTACTGTTCATAAACATTTGAAAACAAATGCCGGTGTCGGACAGACACAAACACACCGAACACACAGAGCTGAGCAGAGCACACACACATCATGCGCCTTGGTGACTGACTGGACATCTCCTTCATAAAACTAATAAAAGGGGGAGTAATCGGGCAGTTCGATGTGTGTAGAGATGTGTGTAGATGTGTGTGTGGTTAACACGTAGCAGCCTGCAGTCACTCTTAAGCTGTTCTGATTAAGTTAAACACAGCGAAGGCGGTGCGTAAAAAGGCACAGCTCTTTACCCGCTGGTGCTGCACTTCTCAGAGGCGGAGTATACGTGCCGCTGCCTCCTGATGCTGCAGCCATTTCATGAAGTGAAGGAGGGTTTCCTTCTATAAAACAGCTGCGGGCAGCAGATACCGTGAGAGTCCCGGACATTAATTCATAGATCAAGGCAGACTGGTTTACTCTCCTGTTTTGCCAATCCGGTGCTTAAACAAATAGCTCTACACCCCTGGCCGACATGTCCTTAAAATGAAGTCCGAGTTTGAAATATATCTCAAATAATGTATGCACCACCATTTCCCCACATAAACATAACAGTCTGCAATCAAACGGTTGTCTCCTGTGCGCTCCTCTTCCTACTTGGCACACCGGTAACATGCTCGTGTGCACAAGAGGCTGAGACCTTAGGCCGAGCCGTCGAATCCCTCGGAACACCATAAAAGCCATTTTCAACGGTTTTCTGGTGAAAGATTAACTCGCTACTGGATGAAATAATATGACTGGTGGCATAGGTGCAAAAATTAAACACTTTTTGAAAAAAATATGATAAAATATTTTTATATATTTATAATTCTGCAAATATTACGATAAACTCACAGCTATTTCGCGGCCCGGCAGTAACACCTCAGCGGCCCGGTACCGGTCCACGGACCGGGGGTTGGGAACCCCTGCTTTACACCACTGGCTATACAGATAGAAAGACTAAGCCTTGCACAGAGGCATGAAAATACATTTTCAAAATGCTCAACAGTGCTGCCAAAATTATAAACTGACTGCTACACAATTCAAATAAATGCTTTTATACATTTCTATTAGATGTGACTCTTTGGCATTTCTGTTATTATTAACTGCTTTAGTTGTTCTGACTGCTAAAATCCTCTGTTATTCCTCATTTTAAAGCCGATATTCCGTGGGGTCGGGGGGCTCGGATCCTTGTCACCTTTTTCATACCTGATGAGTTTGCATCCCTGATAGTACTAAATGCATCATTAGTTGTTTCTTACGATTATGCCATGATCTTTGGGAATTATAAATCCAGGAATAATTTATGTAAATGGCTGTTAACCTGTATTCCTTTTGTATCCACATGTCTTTCTTTCTCCAGATGACAGACATGATGAATGGTAAAGGCCAGATTGTGTACAGACTGCCTCCTCCAACAGCCTGTCCTGTCAACTCATCTGGTGAACCCATCAACCTCAGGATCCCACTGACTGAAAAACCCACTGTTACCAAGGTTCTACAAACAATATGCATGATAATCATTCATTGTCTGAATAGTGATATTAAATGACACACATTTATTATAACATCATACGCATGAGCTTAAAGGAAAACAAAAGAGGTCTAATAAACTAAATCTGAAAATGTTTTCTTTCCACAGTTGACAGATTCAGCTCCTGTATCAGGTTCTCTCATATGTGACCACATGGAGCGTTGGAAAAAGATAAGGCACAAGTATGTTCTTCATTAGAAGCTCCTTGAAATGAGAATAATTATAAACATTTGCATTGCCCTGTGCACTGTAGTCAACCCACCGTGAGGGCAGGGTTTCACCCATGGGTGTTTTTGTGTGTTTCTCTCGGTAAACATGAAACATATTTGAATTGTTGCCGGTATCGATTCGGTAAACCAGATTTTCAAACAACTGGAACCGTCACGTGTTTGTGAGATGAGCTGACACATTTTGTTTTTTTTAAATTACAGGTGGAAGGAATGCTCTAACAAGAACCAGTTGAGATACAGCGAGAGTATCAAGGTCCTGAAGGAGATGAAGGAGCTCTATGATCGCTAACTGCCTCGTACTGCAGCTCTCCACCACAGAATGGACTCTGTGCAATTTAAAAGGGAGCCACAGCGTAACAGTCCATGTTTGAATAAACACTTATTCAAAGCAAAGCATTAACAGATCCCTCAGCCCTATTAAGACTATATTGTACATCACGGGCAGAAACATTTGCTGTGCTGGAAAGTGTTCATGCAGGACTTTATTCATACCATTTTAAGAATTCTGAATAAATGATTCCTCTATCCTGTTGCATCAACATTGAAGTTAATTGTGATTATTGTAAAATGTCAAACTTGCTTCCTTGTTTCTAACACAGGTATAAGAGAATACAGCAAATATAAAAAATAAAAGAGGTCCGGCTTGGAGCATTAATAAGTCTATACGTGAAGCCCATAGATAGCATTTGATATTCACTTTCTTCTGAAATGCATACTAGTAGCGTGTTAGTTCTTAATCAACCATCCTATCCATAGATGACACCAGTACTGCAAATGTCAACAATTTTAAGTTTTCTTTAATGCCCACATATTTAAACTTGTTCTCTGTAATATTGCTGATTTCAGGGGTGGTTCTAGGGGGGGGGGGGGGCAACAGGGGCCAGTGCCCCCATAACACTGACCAGGGACCCCCCTCCAAAAAAAGGTTACAATATTACAATTTATTGGAACTAAATCAAATCAGAGACCCGGATTTACAGTGGAGATTAAACTGTTCATAACCTTATATAAAAGCAAATACTGTTTATGTTTTTTAATTAAATTGTCACTTAAGTTACTAAAACAAATACTCTAAATGAAAAAAACTACTGAAACAAAGGACTGTAACTTAAATTTACTAAAACAAATACCTTTACAAAAACAAATACCAATTACTGTATTTTATGTTAATTTTACACAATTACTTTATATACTGTCTTTGTCTTTTTAACCCACTTTTATTGCGCCCCTCTCATGAAATAACTGGCCCCAGCCTGGCCCCCCCCCAGTACAATTGGTCTAGAACCGCCACTGGCTGATTTGGTGGAAGTAACAGCAAATTCAACTCTGTATGTACGACAGTATACATAATTACAAAACTGCAGAGCAGCGACCCTTTGAATTACAAGTGTCATTAGGAGGCACAATTTATATAATTTATATAACAACCTTAATTATTAGTACTTTCTATTTCTAGGGTTGTCTTCTAATTCACTTTAGACAATCAAACATAGTGGTATATCAAGATTTGTTAATTCCCAAACTAAGAAAAAGTACTATGTGCACTCCCATAGTTGTATTTTCTTTATATTTCTGATGTGTGGTGTGCCATCGCGTAATCTAAGAGAATCTGATTCACAAAGTTATTTTGCAAATGCAAGAAGTCAAGCATATCATTGTGGTATCCTGTAAGATAAAAGAAACACTGAAGGAGGAAGTGAACAGCTCATCAAAAATATGTTTTTATTCACTGTACAAAAATGCATATAGCGCAATTATTGAAGCTCAGTTTGTGTGACAGTATTATGCTGCTATAGAGGCATGTCAAAAAAACATTTGTAAATAAGCTCGAAATTGTATTGTTTACAACACTTAAAAGTAAAATAACACATTACTGTGCACATTATCATGTAATTTTAAGCATTGCCATATCTGATGAATTTATGGGTATAATTTCATTGTACAAAATAATTAATTCTTATACACAGACATTCATATTTACATTGTAAGGCCACAGCACACCCTACACAATTATTGATCTAGAGAACTATGTACAATCCATGTTCAGTTTCTACTCTACTTTTGTGATAATTGATTACAAGTTTCATATACTCTGACTAATCTTCATCAGTGCCCAGTGTCTCTCCCTCCGTGCAATGAAAAAAAACTGGTTCTGTGGTTGAGCAAGTGGCTGGGCCTTTCATCTCCACGGGTGCAGTAGAGTCAGATTTACGAGAAATCCGTGAAAGGTAGGACGTCAGGGAGCGAGAGGACGTAAATGATAAGTGGTCCTCAGCCAGGGCACTTTCTAGTGCAAAGCACACGAATCGCTTGAGCTTCTGCTGGAATTCATGACACATGAAAACATAGAGAATGGGATTCAGGCAGCTGTTCATAAAACACTTCTAAACTTTAAGTTAAGTGGGCATTTATCACAGAAGTGATTGTTCTGTCTCCACGTTTGTTGCATTGTCTGTGATGTATTTTCCAACGGTTCCTGGTAAAGTAGTAGATGTTCAGGTTGATAAATAATATTTTCCACACTGAAGATTATGGAGGTATTGATCAGTCTTCTCATATTTTTAAGCCTCGATTTCTCCTTTCCCCACCCCCTCTAACATCACCAGAAGTCATCATTTAAGGGGTCATTTCTCGAAAAAAATGTGCGGGGGGAAACCCCCCGGACCCCCCGGACGGGTCACTCCCTGTACGTCAAGAGCCCCACCAAAAAAATAGACCACCGGCCGCCACTGGACACATATTACCAGGAATGGGATCAGGAAGCCCATAACAAATCGAAATATGTCAAGAATCCATGTTTGTTTAGGATAACAGATTATCTTCCCCCCATGAGGCCAAACCTCTCGAAAATGTGCATATGGAGCACTGCAGACCCCAGCAGTAATCCAGATGATAACGCATATGATCTGGGTTTTGCCAACGGTACGGTTGTTTTGTGCCCACACCACCAACCAGATTGATAAGCAACGATCCACACTTATGGCTGTCAGAAGAAAGATACTGGCAAACATGTTGACTACAATCACAAAGGTTTTGAGCTTGCATAATACTCGTCCAAACATCCAGCGGTTTCCCTGAGAGGTAGAAATGATTGTGAAAATCAGAAAGGTTGAAAAGAGGAAGTCAGCCAGGGCCAAGTTGAGAAACCAAACTGAGTTGACCGTTCTCTTCATCCTGCAGCCTGTCACGTAGATGACTAGACTGTTGCCAATAGTCCCAAATGCAAATATCAAGCAGTAGATGACCAGCGAAGTTATTTGTAGGGCCCTGACAACCCTATTGCCAACCCTATTACCATCTTCTTGTACAGTGGAGTTGGTGTAATCGAATGAGGAGTTGGTGTCATCTAATGAGGAGTTGGTGTAATCTAATGAACAACAAAAAATAAGTGCAATTACTGACATTAGCTCTCGTGTGACCACATACAACATCTAAGTTAGTTTAAGTAGTCACAGAACACTTTGTATTAGATTGCATGTTGACTTTTCCACTAATTTTACCCAATCACTCTTGTGTTTAGAAAATAATTTATAAACTCAAATTAAAGTTTCTGCACATACATTTTAAATGAATCTGGCAAAAACAATGTTTTTCTGTTAACCTTTCTGTTAACCTTTCTGTTAGTGCTATTTAAAAGCATTGCAATAACTGTTTTGTATAAAGTTTCTTACCAGTCTCCATTTTTCTGATGCCACGAAGGTCTGTCTTTTATTTGTAAATTGATATTTATCTGGCTCTGACTCTACTTATTCTCTCCCCTATTACTCCTCCTTCTCAGTTCATGCAGCTGCCAATGAAACAGTACTTCTGCTGCTGCCATGGCTTTGTGACAAGGCATTAAGTCATGTACAGGGAGTGGACAAAATAACAAGAACTCCTTAAAACAAAATGCATGATCAACAGTTATCTGAATCTAAAATTATTATTCTCATAGAATTATTATTGATCTTTAAATAGCTGGAGCTAAATGGGCATCCCTCTAGTAATGTCTTAACATTTGTTGTAAAACATGAAAACCAACACTGTAGTCAAGTTATATTTTATTAATGAGTTTTCACAAATGCATCATTCAAAGCCAATTGAAAAGTAACATTCATGATACAGCTATTATTAATAATGCTGTATAGAATTACTTGTTGATCACAGTGAGGAGCAAGTGTTCTGAGTGTGTTATTTGCACATTAGTTGGAAGCGATAGTCTGGTCGATCCAGCTACGCAGGTAGGACACGCGGGCGTACACTGCAGGGGTGCGCACGTTGCAGTTGGAGGTGCCCCAGGACACAATACCCACAAGGGACCACACTCCACCGTTCTGACAGACCAGGGGGCCACCAGAGTCACCCTGAAATTAGATTTGTTTCTTTTTAAAAACATGCATGGGGTCACATCATTTGAATTAAACCTTGTATGAAGCTCCTGTTCAAGCTCTGTGGTGCATTAACAGGACGTTCTGTTCTGCTCTGTACAGTTTTCACACAGGATGAGGGCTGGTCTGCCATTATTTAAAAATGGCAAACAGGGAAACATGCACTAAGAACATTCACATCAACATGACAGGACATTAGTTAAAAAATGACATCAGAGAGTAAATGCTGCTTTTATGTATTCTGTGAATACCGTCAATTAATGGATTTGGAAAATTGGATATTATGTGCAAATATTTACTTCTATTTACTCATTACCATCATTATCTTTAATCATTTTTTTCAACACATTATGATTCACACATTTCTGTAAATTGTTAACTAATGTTTAACTATTGATAAATCAACACATTTGTATGAAACATATTACATATCAATATTACAATTGGTTTAAATCTGACCAATTGTTGTTTTTAAGAATTGTCTATTTTCCCCAGAAATCTGTATTTCAGGCATGGTTGTTACCTGACAGGAAGAGACTCCAGAAGCACCGGCACAGATCATAGCATCAGTGATCTTGTTAGAACCCCAGTGCTGCTTGCACTGAGCCGGGCTGAGCATAGGCAGGGAAGTCTGCTGGAGGTAGCGGGGGCTTGCTGAGAACGAAGTAGAATAAAGGTAATGAGGCTAGCTGCCCTAAAAAATGTTTTACGTCGTTCTCAAGGAGGTATGGTTCATCCTGTGCAATACTTAGAAGGTGGGCTCACTCACAGGTTTGGCCGGTCTTGCCCCACCCGGTGGTGACACATGAGGTTCCAGTGGGGATGCTGGTGCTGGAGGAGGCCAGGCACACAGGAGTCACACGGGATGTCATCTGAACTGGGGAGGACAGCTTCAGAAGGGTGATGTCATTGTTGAAGTTCTGGGCGTTGTAGTAGGGGTGAGTGATGGCCTGGATGGAGAGGTGAGCACAAATCATAAGCCACGAATGCCAGTATTTCTCCAGGAAATCCACTGAGATACTATATTTTTTTGAAATAAAGAGAACTTTTGTTGTTGCTTACCCTGGAAATTGTCTTGACCTGAATTTGCTCAGCGTTGGACTGACGATCATGTTCTCCCAAAATCACGCGGTGGTTCCTAGAGCTGGAAAAAATTAAAGCATACAGAGGAGTGATCACAAAGAGAAACATGTTGGGACTTTCCTCATTTAGATGTGGGACATGACTTACGACACGCGGCAGTGAGCAGCAGTGACAACCCAGTTCTGGCTGATCAGAGATCCTCCACAGAAGTGGAATCCCCTACCGTCCTACAGTTATAACATACATATTAACAATATTGTAATTTTCTGAATTACAGATTCACTTTTTATTACTCGGGTTACCTGAAGGGAGACCTGCCAGGGCCAGGATCCAGACACAGCGTTCTGTCCATTTACAATCTTGTCGTTACCTCTCACTTGGGGCCTGATAGAAGGTACTCCACACCCTGAGGCCAAATCACACAAACGAAAAAAGGGGTACAAGAAAAAGAAAACATACACTTAGTACTGCAATAATATGTTTGGTGATCAATCCACAAAATACCCTTTAAATTCATAAGTTACATTGAAACAACTCAGTAAATATTAAATGTTATCTTCAAAGATATACCCTCTCACAGTAGTGGTAAGATTTTGCAGACTGCAATAAATGCACATGCAGATCCCACTGTTCTGATTGTATAGAAGTAACTTTTCTAACCTACATTTGATGCATATAGTGGTGTGTTTATTATACTATGACTGTTTCCCTAAAATAAGACTTTAGAAAATTACATTGTGGCTGCTATTACAGCATCGCAGTATATTGAATCACAATTATATCTTGATATGTAATGCCAGATTCTTGCGAATACACAGCTCTAATCAAAAATGGAAATGCTTGTTCCAATGTTGTAAATGTATATACCAATAAGTGTTCTAGCACACAGTCACAGAAAGATTTTCTACAGATAATGCATCTGCTGGTAAACCGCCAGACACTTACCCAGTGCAGAGACCACAAGAGCAAAACAACTAACAAGGAAGAACATGGTCACGTCTCACTTTTCCTGAATGTCAGATCTGGGGAACGCTGCCTTTTATATGTTTGTATCCCCCACGCATGACCCTGAGACTTATACTGTAGTTACACACACACACACCCCCACACACACACACAGACACACGGCTTCGGTGATAAGTATGGGAAGAGAACACCTGATCATATACTTATTCCTATGTTCCTGTTTGGCCTGTTCTTGTGCACAAAGGTCATGGCTTTGCAAACACATTGTTGTTAAATCATTTCATTGGTTAGAAGCAACACATCCCCTTTGTATTACTGTGGAAAAAGAAAATATTCTTTCCATTTGACTGTCTTTGTGTTTTTTAATTCATTATTAAGATACATTTGCACCACATTAAATATATTAAGTTGTCTAATTGCTGCTATGTCCTTGCTTGCACAACTCACACCTTATTCATCAGCAGACACAAGATACCAGATATTGTTTGTAACAAATGCTTCTTGACAACTACAGCAACACCTTTCTTATCGGATCTTACAAAGTTGTTATTTCCAGTAAAATATGTTAACTCACACGAAAACATATATTAATCACAACCTTAGTGGTCTGTGAACAGGAACCAGTTTTATCTTAAGCATCTGCATCTCGAGACTTCCCTTGCAAAACTATTTTATGCACTAATTAATCTTCTGTAGCTGGAGAGGTGCCAGTTTACCTCATTGGTAGAGCAAGGCAAAGAACACTGGTAGCCACTTCACTCTGACACCTCTCTGATAATGTATTGATATGTTTGTGCTTGTGCATATGTTCATATGTGCATTTTACCTACAGTATGTGCATAATGTAGAACTGTTATGCATGTAATGTGTAGCAAGCAGAGTGAACAACTTATTTTCCCTTCTTCTCCTTTTTCCTCTTCTTCTCCTTCTTAAATGGTTTATTCAGATATGTAATGTGATTAAAATAGTAAATAATAAAAAGAACCACACAGTAGATTATGCAAATAAGAATCCCATTGGTGATCTTTATTGATTAAATGCTTAAACACCAATGATAAAAAGGCATGTCTTTGTCTACCTCGTGTAAATCATAATTTGAGAGAGAGATAATGAAGACAACAAACAGACTTTGATTATTTCTTATGTGACTGAGTATTTTCATTGATCCATAATGTTAATCAAAACAATCCCATGATCTTCAGTTTATTAGATGTGTATTTTGTCTATATAGCTTTAATGGCAATAAGCGTTTGTTGGGATCTGAGATGAAGACACTGTCTGCCTTGTTTTTAGTCGACCTCCTCGATGGTAGGGCCAGAGGAGGAGCCGCCTCCAGCTCCACCAGGGAAACCTCCAGGCATTCCTCCTGGCATTCCTCCAGGCATCCCACCTGGCATCCTTCCTGGCATCCCACCTGGCATCCCTCCTGGCATCCCACCTGGCATCCCATCCTGGCATCCCATCCTGGTATAGCTTGGAGATGATGGGGTTGCACACCTTTTCTAGTTCCTTCTGCTGATGATCGTACTCATCCTTCTCTGCCGTCTATGTAACAGAGGGAACAAAACATTTGTTGTCAGATATTACTTTTTATGTTTGTACATGGTTGTCTGCATGAACATTATCTGGAAGGGAAGGGATTGCTTCACAAAGTGCACGAACACTGCTTTCACAATGCCAGCCAAAGAGGAACTTGTGAATCATGGTTCAGTCAACAGTATATACCTGATTTCTGTTGAGCCAGGCATTGACTTTGTTGCACTTTTCTACGATGGTCTTTTTGTCCTCAGGGCTGATCTTGTCTTGGAGCTTCTCGTCCTCCACGGTGCTCTTCATGTTGAAGGCCAGAGACTCGAGTGAGTTCTTGGCTGTGACCTTTTCTCTCTGTATCTCGTCCTCAGCCTTGAACTGCTCAGCCTCCTGCACCATCTGCTCAATGTCCTCCTTGCTCAACCGCCCTATGGAGGAATACATTACAAAGCTATTTACCTTGCATGGAATAGTTTTTTATTCTCCATGTTCAAGCGCATTATTCCTTCAGCTTTTGTGCTTTATCAGTGTTTAATATGGTTACCTACCTTTGTCATTGGTGATGGTGATCCTGTTCTCTTTTCCAGTGCTTTTGTCCACCGCAGACACATTTAGAATGCCATTGGCATCAATGTCAAAGGTCACTTCAATCTGAGGGACTCCTCTGGGAGAAGGTGGAATACCGGTCAGCTCAAACTTGCCCAAGATGTTATTGTCCTTGGTCATGGCTCTCTCACCTTCAAAAACCTGAAACATTTAGATTCTGTCAGTGAACACTTTCAAGAGTAATGTAATAAACTGGGACAATGGA